GAAGGGTTCACTCAAGGAATTATTGTGTTTTTAAAAAAAAAAAAAAAAAAAAAAAAAAAAAGTTTGCCAATGTTTTTAATAAGTATTTATTCCATAAAAATTCTAAACTCTAAAATTAAAGAAAAAATTAACAGCTTCTCAGGCCCTGCAAAATCAAGTCTTGGCTTTTATTTGGAATGGGGTGGGGGGGTCACCTGATAATTATTCACACTACACAATCAGAAAATGGTCATCTTAAGGATAATGCTACATTTGTTTATCTTTCTGGCAGTTTAATAAACTGCTGTATTAAATACCAAAGAAGTACTTTTCTGAACACTGGAAAGTTTCTTCTTTTTTTCTTTATAGTCATTTATATGTGTGTACATTTTCCCTATCTTTTGAAATTCACTCACAGAGTGAGTGAAAACTGAAGCAAGAACACTAAATGGAACCATCTCACTTCTCTCTGAAATAATTAAGATATCCTAGAAAAGTAAATAACTACTACACTAGTATAGCTAAAAGTCCATAGAATTAGGCTTACGTAGAAAAGAGTCAATGATGCTATGTATCAGTAACTCTCAAGGCCTACATTTGAGTAGTCTTGGGGAATAGTCTCACTCACATCCCAGCCCCTCACAGTGATATTGGTGTCTATGAATAACAGAATCATTCAGAAACTTCTTCAAACTCTATTATGACCTTGATTTCTGACCAGTGAAATGTCTACCCACTGGCCCCTCCTAGTTAAGAATAATGAAAAAGTTTTCATTAGACACTGATTCGAAGGCTCTTACTCCTGTAGTATGTAGCCTAGAGTTGATGTTTTATGGGGGCAATTCCAGAAGGCTTCGATCCACTCTGCTACAAGGACTTCAAACAATGACATCACATACCAACAATGAATAATGACCTGTTCCTTTTCTTATAGCTTTCCTTTAAGAAAAATAGATTGACATTTCTCCCTATTTCCTTGGTAAAACTGAAAACTCTTAGGAGAAATAAAAATTTAGAAGTATTAACAAAAAAGTGTGAAAAACATTCCACAGGTCAGGATTAAGAAAAATTCTAGACATGTGAACACCTCAAATGAGAAAACAAATGTTAAAAAAAAAAGACATACTGTGCACAAACAAATGTGAAATTAACAGTGGATTTATTTGGTATGTATAGCATAACTTTTTGGCTTTCAAGTATGGAAATAAAATAATTCAATCAAGTAAGTCATCAAAAAACAATGGTCATTAATGATGTGGAAAACATGCGTTCAATATAGAGTTTTTCCATTATAAAGGAAATGGTAATAAGCAAGGAGATAAACTGAATGGAACGAACAGACACATTTGAGACACAAAGAATAGCACTCTGGAGGAAAAGAGAATACTGACAATTTAGCTTTGTGTGGGAAATATTTACCCTTCTGGTTTCTAAGTGCTGAAAATCAGGCATTTGGGGGACTCAATATGTTCCAATTAAAAAAGGTCCAACTATCGCTCTGAAAATTAACAGTGAAGGAAGGAAAAATCTTTCTCTATATCAATTTCACTAATTCTGGATGATTATATGGAAAAATGCAAAGAAGTTTCTCTAATGTGCTCACACCCATCCTCCTTCATGGGTAGAACTCTGAAACATGAAATTTATTTACCTCTCATTTCTTCTACAAAATTCTGGCTCTGATTTAGACACTGTTTGACTTTCTTGAGTTCTTCCTCCAGGTGGCAGACTTCTCTGGCTCTCTGCTCAGACTGTCTTTTAAGGAGACCATTTTCCTTCTTCATTTCCTAATACACACATTTAGTTGATTATAATCAAAACAAATGCTCAAGTAAGTTGACTTCTACTTTAACAAAGGTCCTGAGCAGAAATGTTTATGCACTCCACTAGGAAAAGAATCACACCTTCCCTGTAAGTACCTTATGAAGTTAGACAGCCATACTCAAGTCAAATAATATTCTGACTACAAGTAAACACAAAAACACAAAAACCAAACTGATGATGACCTTTTTCCTTTAAGAAAATATTTCTTTGAACTTTCCACTTGTTTATATGCCTGTTAAAGAGTTAGCACATAAAGAAAAGTCCTATTTACAAGATACTCCAAGCGAAAAGCTCCAAGTTCTTATCACACCTGAATGACCAAATACAGCATACTTTGAAAAGATTTGCTATGGTAATAAAACCAAAAGATTCACCAGACAAACTTTCACTTTTCACTGCAAAACCATCTTAAGGTTCACTGTTATGAGAATATCTTTATAGGCTAATATTTCTTTCAATAAATGTTTACCAAGAAAATCTACAATGTTCAAAATAATATAATATACTATGAAAAATGCAAATATAAATAAGAGAGTTTCTGCAGATATCCTCCAATGGGAGATGTGATATCAGTCATTTAATACACACCAGGATGTGCTTAACACTGAAGAAACACTGAGTGTGCTCTAGGGAAAAAGAGCTACACAAAAGAAAAATTGCTTCTAGATAGGAGCACCTGAGCCTTCAGAGTGAAAACCAGTTCTTTGGATACCTGATTAAGCCATGCGTCAATGTGCAGTAAAGTAGTAGAGATGCATCTGCAATTCCATCCTATAATCTAGAGAGATCCATGTATTTTTCTGAATCTTAAAACCAAGCATTTACATGCCAAATAAAAGTGCTGCTGCTTATTAAACACCTATGACTCACATAATAAACATACTTGTACTCATACTTGAAACTTCTAAGAACTTTTATAGCCAATAAGTATCTCAATACATATTACATGCCATTCTCTGATCCACAGGGCATTGGCATATATCATTACAAAACGACAGAAACAAGCACCTCACACATCCTTGCGTGGAAAATTCCTAAGTCTCCCCCCCACCCCAAACCACATTCAAAAATATCCCTCTGAGAAGTAGGGGGAAATTTTTTGAATCTTAAAGAAACAATTAAGACCTATCTTCCAAAACCCTACTGCACCATTTGAAAACAGATGGCCCTGGCATTGCTATGTTGGAAAGCTGCCTTCAATTATCAGTCTGGTTACTACCAGCAGATGGGTACCGATGTAGCAAAGCCAAATTCAAGAAGAGGGAGAATCTGGCTAGTGCAAAGTACTTGAAAACTTGCTGGCAGCTGCTCTGTTCGTGTATATATGTTCGTTTCATCATTAAAATAAGACAGCACCTGTTGTAGTTATTATACGTCTGTCTCCTGTGTCCTAATACTACTTCCCTTCCACCAGAGAAACTGACACTCTATCAAATTAAGATATCAATCAGAACTAAAGGAAGCTCCAACTGATCTCAAGACTGAGAGGCTAACAGTCATGCAAGTCAGTGCTAAATTCTGCAAAGAATGATCTCTCAGGTGTGACAATGTTACTGATTCAAAACAGCATCATTAACTATAGAAACTATAATCACTTATTTGTTCTTTGGGCTCAGAACAATCTCCCCTCAAATGAGATAACAGATGTGAACAGAAAAATACCTTAAAGCACTTTGACAAGGGTAATGGAGCATTATTAGTGGTATTTCTTCCCATAACTTAACAGTGGCCAGATCTGATCAGAGCTGCCTTTCAGCTATTAGCTGAAAGCAGCCAAGATAAAAGGATAATTAGAATTAACTATCTAGATTGACTTAGCATTAATTTTTATTTTGTAACTAAGTTTATTTTTCTCCCTCTAAAAAAAATTAGTCAAATCAAATAATATCTATATCTGGAGGCTTGATAAGAAAGCTGGAAAAATGTCATGTGTAAGACTTGGTCTAACCCAAGAGGAAGAAAAGAAGGTTAAAAAAAAATAAAATAAAACGAAGAGAGAGAGAGAAGAGGGAGGCAGGCAGGAAGAAATTTATATGTATGCATCTAATGGTCTCTACTCATCTCTGTCCATAAATGAAGAGTAAGCTCAATGGAAAGATTAACATGCCTTTCTCTATTCTGGCATTTGCTCCATAAATATTTGTTTCTAACGAAGAAATGTTCAGCCAATCCTGGGACCCAGCAGGCTTATAATGCTCTGGCTATGACCAACCCAAGAATTTTAAAAGGCCAGAATTTAGAAAATGAACATCTGAAAATGGATGTGCAGGCTGTCATCCATCAGCAATTAGTTTTCTATGAGGCCACAGCCACTTAAGACTTGATTGGGTAGCTCATTATCAACAATGAGTTAAACATACAAGAATATATTCTCCTAGGCATCTCTTGCATCCTCACATGATTTGCAAAAATTGGGCACTACTCTGGAAAATACAACAAAAATCCCTATCACCACAGGCCAGCATTAGAGCTTAGCAAGCAATTCCACCCAGATCAGCTTCGATTTAGTAGTAGCAAGGGAAGCATCATTTCCTAGGGCCAGACATAACAAATTTCAGTTACTGTGTGGCATTTTGCGAGCCCTTCCATGAACACAGCATCATACAACTCCTGGCGGGATGAAGTCTACGTATGTGAATAAGGGAGGATGCAGAGATTAAGATTTTCCCTTTCTATATCATCATTCCTGTCTGCCAGACCAAACTCCTTAGAGGCTCCAGTGAAATACAGAGCTCTGCAATCGCTAAGGTCCCAAAGCAAGTGTTCCCTCATCCTATCAAATCATGGTATTTTATTGTCTAATCCCAATGCTAAGGGGGCTGGCATTAGATGCTGGATGGGCTGCTTATCTAAACCGTCCATTCACTTTGATACTAAATGTTAACTTTACCCTTGATTGGACCATTAAATCACATTTCCAGTCCTGATAACTCCTCATTGTGAGCAGCACATTAGTTTCCTAAACATGGAGAGGGAAAATTTCAGTACAACTGTCACATTATTTCATCATCCAAAACCTGTAAGTGAGCTAAAGCTGTTTGTGCCTTACTTATAATCAGATACAGAAAGACACCCAGCCTGACAGAACAGAACAGGCTAAATTTTAAATATGAAAAATCTACGATGTATCGGCCTCTGGGTCCCAACTTTCAGTGCTTGTAACGGACAGCAAACAACACTAACATCAGAAACTTCTAACAACTGTGACGAACAAAACTAAGAGCAGGTGGACTGCAGTAATTCACTGAGCACTTACGTCCTAGACACTGGGCTAGACACTCCACATATGCTATCTAATCATGGATACAGCTTTGAAAAGGGGAGAGAGGAGTCTTTTTCATCCCTATATGCACATGAGAAAAGTCAGATGCAGAAAGAGTAAGTCAACGTCTCATGGTCACATGGCAGGTAGGTGGCAGAAAAGCATGCAATTTCAGATCTCATTAATTCTAAAGCCGCCACCATTTTTTTTTCCAAGTTTATTTATTTCTTCCATAAAACAGAGACAGACACACAAGCACCTTCAACAGGGTCTTGCACACCGTGACTACCACCACACTCAGCTGGCCCAAATCACAGGCATGCATGTATGCACCTGACATGATTAAGGAGGTCCCAGAAACAAACCCTGGACCTTTCCCATGTGGGTCCAATGGCACTACCAGTGTGACATCATCACTAAGTTATACCACCACTCTAACTGGGTAAATCACTTATCTGATCCCAATTCCATTTGAAATGAGACATGGCTAAACTAAGTCCCTGATATCATGAAAAAAGATACGTACATAAAGAAAAACATTAAATCTATCCCCAGACCTGTGGAAGGCAATTTCCCTCTGACACAGAAATGAAACACCATAAGCGAAACAGGCACGCATGGAACTCGGTATGGATTACAGTTAATCAAGGGCAGCACTACAGCTGACGAACCAGACTCTGCAGAGATGAGCCAGTCTTCAGAAACACCTACAAGAGGACATCCAGCCTGCTACTGCAGTTTGGCCAAGAAGCAGTTTGAAAAGTGTTTGGACCCTCATAACCAGATGATTGCTTTTACAAAATGTTTCCACCAGGCAGCCAGTGGAGTCGCGGGAACGTTCCTGGCTGAAAGGGAAGCTCACAGAGGGAAGAGTTCAATGCCAGTCTGCCTGTGGAAATGTTAGCAGAAGCATCTGTTGGTTGGTCCCTACTGGCCAAAAGGCAAACATTTGTTTTGCTGAAACAAACACTTCCATCTGAAAACGTTCACTGATGAAACTATCATCTGATTTGAAATTTTCTTCCATTTGGGTTGCTGGAGCTATGGCCCCATCTCCATGAGCATCACTCCTTTGAGGCTGACTGCTTTAACAACTGCCTCTTTGCTCCTGACAGATGTTGGGATTTTACAATTGTGCGACCCTCTTCAAAGCCAATAAATATATTTAGACCTTCCTCAGCTGGATAAATAAGTGTTCTTTCTAAATAATTTTTTTAAATCTTCATAGTCTAAAATATGATTATAAAGAATTTAAATACTGAGTGGAAAAACATTATTTCCAGTGAGGATTAATAGAGAAGAAACTTCTACTATTCTTGTTGTTCCTTTTCCTAAAATTACAGTGTTGACTGATAGCTCTATTCAAATTATTTCAGTCTAGTAACAATCGCTAAATAGTTTTTAACCAAGCCCTTTAATATAAGCCTCAAGCCACTAAGTAAGTTCAGAGAGATACCAAATGAAAACATGTATGGATAAAATCTTATGACCAGATGGTGGTTGCAACGGTAACACAACTGGACCCACATGGGAAGGTTTAGGGTTCACATCCAGGGCTTCTCTGTACACTGCAGGTATGTACATGTGTGTTGTTTGTGATCCAGGCTGGCTGAGAATGGAGGTTGATCATGGCATGAAGACCCTGTCACGGATGTCTGTCTCCCCCAATTAAAAGAAATAAACCATATTTAAAAGTTTTGTTAAATTTTATACTTAAAAATCCTGTCAGTAGAATCATTAGCATACTTCTTAAATACATGCCATTTAGAAACTCTCAACCACCATTCTGTAGACATGCCTCTACAATGTCTTTGGACATGTTGACCACGAAGGTCTGTGTTCACTTTTGAAACCAGAAAAACATACCCTATGACATCAAGTCAGGAAACCCTTAATTTGTCCTTACTTTTGATTACTTAAATCTCTGACTTCCTACAGGTTACTAATATTGGATGACTCAAAAGCTAACACTTGAAAAAAAAAATTAAAGAATACTTTCCATCAACAATTTTTTCTTTCCATTTAAAAATGTCTTTCTTCCTTCCACCCTTCCACCTCCCAAGTGGTCTCAAAAAATCTTAAAAAGAAGTATACATGTTCTAAGTACAAGCCACGTTGCCCTACAATAGCTAAATGCATATGAGTAGTTATATCAGAACAGAAAAAAATGGAAAAATAAACACTTATATTGTATGTCAGAGCTTATAGACACACCACTTCATAATATTGACTTCTGGCAAACAAAAAAGAAAATATACATAAAGTCATGAGAAACTACTGACAAAGAGTGACAAAATTCTCCTTTAACCCTCGCACTTCATCCTGTGCAGAATATGGGATATCCCCAGCTTTCCTACTCACCTCGCTGCTTCTCCTCAGCTCATCCTCCGTGACCTGCCGTGCCTGGAGTGCCTGTTCAGTTCTGCAGCACTTTTGTTTAAACTCTTCCAAACTTCTTTCTAGCTGTTGCTTTACCAACGTGGCCTATTAAGAGAAAAGGATGGCAAAGTTTGATTTTCATGTCTTTACAAATAATTTGCAGTGCTCTAACTACCTGGGTGCATAAATCACTTGGGGCAGCCCCACCTCATCACACAACCAGGGACCACTAGAACATCAGAGACCTCCATGCCTACAGACAGGGTTTCGCTGTTTCACGATCCTCCTGCCTTAGCCTCCCAGCTAGAACTACAAGTATGCCACAATATCTGACAGCTTTTCTAGATAGTCTTTCACTATGTTGCCCAGGCTGGCCTCGAGCTCATGATCCTCTTGCCTCTGCCTCCCCACTTGCTGGGATTACGGGCTTACATTACCATGCCTGGCTTTAAGTTTGGACCAGGAATGCAATCCAGGCCTCCCACATGGTCCCAGCCTACTGAGCATAGCACCTTAGCAGCAGGTACACCATGGCAGGGACACAGACCTTTGTATTGGAAATCCTAACTCAGGACCAGCAGGTGGCATGGTGGTTAAGGCACTGGACACTCCTGCATGGCTGACCACAGTTTGAGTACTGGAGCTTTCTCACTTTCTCTATGTCTCTCTCTCTGGTCAAATTTTAAAAAAAGAGAGAGAGAGAATGAATAGAAATCCTAACTCATCCCTCCCTTTCTTTAGGCAAGAAAACCAAGAGCCAGCACAGTATGTTTGCTCTCCACTATGTTAAGAAAAGAAAAATAGAGAATGAGGATACATTTCTTGCTTTAAAAGTAGTTGGGCTAGCAGGTAGTGTGTAGGATCCTACACAGCCAATTGCCCAGTTCAAGTCCCACAACTGGTGGCTTGAGAAAAACCACACTATGTGTGTGTGTGTGTGTGTGTACACGCCCCAAATCCAGAGAGGAGAATAAAGAAGAGACTGTGGTGCAGTCGTCCCCTCTGCACAATGATTTTGTACTTTCCTCTCTCTCTAATGAGCATACATGTCCCATAGGAAACTAAATAAACAAATGAACAAATGTTATACTGGCTATAGAAGAGAAATAACATGTATAAGGAAAAGGAGAGACTGACGAAAGAGAAATAAGATAGTATCCTACTTTATCCAGTTCGGCCTGGAGGATGTTCTGAGTATTCTTGGCTTGCTGCAGTTCCTGGGTGAGCTTAGCTTTCACCTGCGTGCACTCCTGGTCCAGTGTTTGCAAAGATCGCTGTTGACGGGAGAGCTCCTAAAAACAGGACACACGTGTCAAACCAACCTTGAATGGTGAGCAGGGAGGTTTCTCAGGGAGAGACACGGACCACCTAGCTGGGAATGCTACACTGGCAGAGAGGAGACACTAGGGAGCCAAGCTGGGGTTCTAAAGACAGTCCACCTGGGCCTGGTCATTATATCCAGACCTCTAAAGTAAAGGGGAAGCATTCTGCCAGCTGACCACACAGAAACCAGCCTGTTTCTGCCTCATCCCCAATCTCAAGTTAATCACCACTATTATGAAGGAGCAGGGGCAAGAGAGAAGACACACCACTCAGCTAAGGAAGCATATGTGCTCAAAAAATGGGGTCTAAAACATCAAAAACCATAAATCACAAACAATGGTCTTAAATTTAGAAAGACAAAAAATACAGGGGAGATCTTCAAACAGTTATGAAAAATGCGTATTATGCGAAACTATACTTGGATCTCAAAACATTCTCTGCACCAAAATAAACTCATACTTTAACTATTTTCCACAGACCTTTTGAAGTGCCTTCATATATGCCACCTATTAACTTGAATAACCACAGGAGGATTCCAGTTCACATTTCCAGTCACTCTGGTTAAATCATGTGCTCTGGTTTCAGGCTCGATCACCTGAAAGAACCTAGCTGGCAGTTATGTTTATGGAAGGGCACCATCAGACTTAATACATCTGCCAGCTTCTTTCCTCACATCAACTACCTTCCTAACTCATTTTCCAGTCCAAAGGCTTTAAAAACAGCTGAAAAATGCAATATAAATTCCTCTCATAAGAAGGGCTTGAAAGAAAAAAAAATTGATGTCTTCCGCCTCAATATCAAGTCCAGAACAAATCAAAAAATGTAGGTAAAAACGACAATTGTGACTACTAATTCTCTCCTACTACCAAAACCTGAAATACACAAAACATATAAAAATGCGGGCGTGAAGGAAAATAAAGTGACCTTTCGCTCACAAAGCACCATGTGGTGGAATCTCCCAAATGACGATAAGTGGATCCTCTTTTCAAATGAGGAAACTATGAAATGGGTACAAGAGCCTTGCAGGCAAATGCCTCACAAATCTATTTGCCTTACCTCATGAAACTCCTTTTCTTTTTCCTTAATTTTCTGTTCCAGGGAACATCTGGCACTTTCTGCATTTTGTCGCTGACAATTCAAATCTTCAGTCAATTTTTTCAGTTTTTGTTCCAATGTAGTACACTAGCAAAAAGCAGTAACAAGGTTCATTATAAATCAAGAAGCGAATATTTTGTATTAAAGAAAAATTTCTTCCAAGATTTGTTTCAAGTTTGCCGTTGTTACAGTATTTTTACTTCATAAAAAAATCAGATGTAGGGACCAGCAGTTGGTGTAATGACTATGTCACTGGACGCCCATGTAGTCAACTGCAGTTCGAGTAGTGGACCCGGTGGCTTAAATTCACGCCGGGCGCGTGTGCATGTGTGCTCAAGATCCCAAGAGGAGAATGGAGGAGAAGGGAATTGCGGCATGGCCATCCCCCCCCCATGATGGGGGGTGATTTCTCGCTTTCTGTCTGTCATCTTTCTGGTGAGTGCACTAAGCCCTATAGCAAAAACCTCTCAATAAAAAAAGGGAAATCTCTGTGATTTTCTTTCTTTTTCTGACAAGCACAAGCATCTTCTGGCAATTAAAAAGAAAGAAATGGAAGGTTAAAATGCAACGGTGTAGACTTCTGTAATTTCAATGCTATAAAATAATCTGAGTGCCTATCACCCTCATATTTTAATCTATTTCTAGAATGGATTTTGTGGAAAATTTTAAATATTAAAATGCTTCTTTGTACAATGTTCCCACTATGCCACCTCAAATTCAGAGACTCACAGCACTCCAGAGACTATCACCATTATTTTAAGGTTTCTACCAGAGTCCATGCTCTTGCCAGAGAAGTGGTGAGAAAGTAACAGTAAGAAGGAAAAGTGACAGATCACTCCCTAAGAGGAATTGGCTATTTCACAATCCCTTCTCCTCCATTATCCTCCCAGAATTTCAGGCGCACACACACAAAGGTATCTTATATGATTTTTCAAGCCACTGGGTCCAGGACTCGAACCACAGTAGGCCAAGTGGGAATCCAGCATCTTAACCACTACACCACCTGCTGGTACCTGTGATTTTAACCAAGCTGCCATAAGCAACCAAAAGAACATTCTGCTGCCTTTTTAAATAGTTATCACTGGCTAATTTTTAAAATGTGAACTACACAAAAATTTAAAATGTTCTCAAATTAGAATGAACAAAATGGTCCTAATTCAAGTAGGGAAACCCATTCCTCTGTATCTTTCACATGGGCTCAAACCCTCAAACTGCCTTACAAAATGGTTCTAAGAACCCAAGGAATAATACAATTACTCAATACTGTGGGGAAGAATTCCTGCTACAAAAGAAATGTGTACCAGTTAGGTGACTCTCTCTAATTTATTTTCTCTGGAGATTTTTTTCATAGTCTGATTTAAAACTATTAAAAATATTAAAATTTAACTGAGAATTCATAGGGAAAGAAACACTATGTAATACTTTGCTAGAAGAACAGTTACCAACAATCAAATAACCAAAGCTGAAAAGAGCCTAGCTGGTCATAAATGACTAAATGCTTTTGCAAATATTGGTTAAGTATCTTTTATCCAAAATACTTAGGACCAGAAGTGTTTAGAATTTCAAAATTTTTCATATTTTGTAATATCAACATATACATGAGTTATCTTGGCCGATGGGACCCAAATCTAAACACAGAAATCCTTTATATCCCATATATACTTTATACAGAGTCTGAGGGATGTTTTATACAAAATTTTTGTATTACAGTATTTTGAGTATAACCATCTCATGAGGTCAGGTGAGGAATTTTCCAGGAGTGACATCTTGTCAGCACTCAAAAAGGTTGGGATTTTGGAGCTTTTCAGATTTTAGATTTTCATGCTCAACTTGAATCAAAACTTTTAAAACCAGATTCAAAATGTAAAATTTTGAGCCAGTGGTTCAAATCCATTACCTTAGACATAAAGATACCTTTGTCATTATCTTTAAAATCCTTACATTTTTAAATGCATAAGAAAAAATATTAGAGATTATATAAAATAATAAATATAAATTCATCACATATGTATAGAAGCCTACTCCATGTCAAGCACTGTTCTGGGCATTGGGGGATACAGCAGTAAGCAAATCAGACAGAAATTCTTACCCAAATGATGATGTGCTAAAATTTGAGACTAACAAATCTCAAGGGATTAAAAAAAAATAAAAAACTTGCACCAGAGGAAATAATGAGTCATCGGCGCCCTCTACTGGCAAATCTTCAAACTGCAACACATGCACTAAAAGAATCAATCCTTTTCTATTAGATATATAGGCTGAAAAAGAATCTTTACAGGGTACTTTAAAATTAGAGCATTTGTAGAATGTTTAAACTGCATCCTGATCTCAATGATGCATAATCCATGTAAGACAGGCTGACCACTAGGTGTCATGAATGCTCCATAAAAATGCTGCCCGGAAGTGCAAATCCTTAAAAGTATACAGCATATAACCCTGGCCACTCACTCCCTTAAGCTCTCTGGGTCTGAGACTTCATCTATAAAATGTGGGTGCTGAATCCCACGTTTGCAGCCATCTCCACACTCTGAACTCAAGCTTTGTATTTCACACGGTTTGTAAATATAGCTGACCCTGAACAACACGTGCTAATTCACTTACACATGGATTTTGTTTTTTAATAAATAAGTGTATTTTCTCCTCCTGATCTTCTTTATATTATTTTCTTTTCTCTAGCTTACTTTATTGTAAGAATACAGTATATGTATATATAACATACGAAGTATGTGTCAGCTTTGTTATCAGTACGGCTATTAGCAACCGAAGGCTATAGTAGTTAAGGTTTCATGTGGATTTTCAATTGTGTGGGGGGTCAGCATCCCTAACCCATGTTATTCAAGGTTCAAGTGTATTTGGAAAAGACACATATAATAAACAGCATATTCTCACTTAGAATTCAGTAATGATTTCTGTTATATTAACTCCATTTTATTTACTAGGTAATTCCATAATAGGTCAAGAAAAGGCATAAATGTAGCATAATTTCATTTCAGCAACATAATAAACAAAATCATATAAAGATGACAAAGGGCAGACTGAATTTTCAGTGAGGTGGATTTGTAGCTGAATGGAAGAAAAAGGAGTCCAAAAGGCCCAGATCAAATAAGTCTTACAGGGACCAGCAGTCAGCACAATGGTTATGTCGCTGGACTCCCACATAGTTGACTGCGGTTCGCGTCCCGAACCCGGTGGCTTAAAACTCACGCCAGGCGCGTGTGCGTGCGTGCCCAAGATCCCGAGAGGAGAATGGAGGAGAAGGGATTGTGGCGTGGCCATCCCCCCCCTGGGGGGTGATTTCTTGCTTTCTGTCTCTATGTCTCTGTCTGTCTGTCTGGAGAGCACACACGCCCTATAGTAAAAACCTCTCAAAAAAAAATAATAATAATAATAAGTCTTACGAATCTGAAGGGACAGCTCTAACAGAAAGCAAGCCAGAGATGTGTTCTCAGCACTGTCCTCGTCAAAAATTTTAATTCATAATCTGATAAGAGACCTCAAAAAATATGATATATAACCCAGGATTTAGTGGATTTTGTTACACCAAAACCAATGAGGAGAAATGCAAAAGGATAAATGTAGTTCTTATACATAGGAAGGCCTGAGTTGGCAGAAATGCAACTGAAAACTTGCGTAATTGACTAAGAACTCAATAACAAGCTATGATAACAGCTAATATTATATATTTACATATGCCAGGTACTAAGCTGAAACCTTTACAAAAACTATCTCAGTCTTTGGAATAACACTAAGACTAAAAATGTCTTATAACTAACATCATTTTATTAACTAGGCAGCTAAAGTTCAGAAGTTAAATAGTTCCAAAAGCAACACAACTGAGTTATGACAGAGCCAGGCTCAAATCTAAATCCTTCTACTTAAAAGACCAAAGTGTTAAAAAAAAAAAAAGCCAAAGTACTATTACAAACTTAACTACAATATATATGGATCAAGGGAGATCACAGTCCCACTGAAGCTCTAGTGCTCTCTAACCATGTAATCAATATTGATAAAGAATTTCTCTGGGCAAGGGACCAGAATCTGGCGTAATGGTTACATTGCTAGACTCTCATGTAGTCAACTGCAGTTTGAGTCCCGGACCTGGCAGCTTAAAACTCACACCGGGTATTGAGTGTGTGAATGCCCAAAATCCCAAGAAGAGGATAGAAGAGAAGGGATTGCAAGGTAGCATGGGGGGGTGATTTCTCATTTTCTGCCTCTGTCTCTCTCTGGCGAGCAAGCGCACCCTGTAGTAAAAAATCTCTTAAAAAAAAAAGGACCCTCTGGGTAAAGCACTGCACTGCAATATAAAAAATGAAAAATGAATCTGACTTCCAATTGCAGGAAGAGGGAAAAGACATACTTTTTCCTTTCTCTCCTAACAAGAACAAATATAAGCCTTGGATATTATATTAAAACGAACCTAAGAAAATTCTGAAAAGTAGAAAGATGACAGAATGCTGACTGTGTAGTTTGGGACTTAAGTAAAAACACTATGGCAGTGAAGGGGAAAAAAAAAAAAAAAACCTGACTACCCAGAATCCTATACACAGCAAAAATATCCTTCAGGAATGAAAAAGAAATCAAGACATTCTCAAACGAAGGGAAACTAAGGACAATCTGTGGCCAGGAGACCTACCCTAAAAGAATGGCTAAAGAAGTCTCTAAAAGGAAATGATGAAAGACACCTTGGAAGAAACACAGGAACGAAAAGGGAAGCATTTATTCATAAGGGAATTTGTGTGTGTATACACACACACACACACACACACACTTATGTGTATATATATAAATTACATATAATTTATTATATATGTGTGTGTGTACATATATAAATTACATGTATACATATATAAAAATAAAGTAGACGTTCCTCTGCTTCAACTTTTAAAATGTCTGATGGCTAAAGCAAAAACTACAAAAATGTCAATTTAATATAGTCCTACATATATGTAAACATTTAAAACAAATTATAAACAGGAGATGGTAAAATGATGAAAAAGCAGGTAAATCTAGTATCTTCTAAAATCTATCTAATAACTAGAACAATCACCATTAACAGATTTACAAAGAGATGCACATGAAAATTACTATAGATAAATCAAATTTAAATTCTCAAGTGTTCAAGTAATCCACAGAAAGACAGGATAAAACAAAGAAATAAAAAATGGAGAGAAACAAAAAATAAAATGGCAGACTTAAGTCATGAAATATCAATAATTAGAGTAAATATAAATGGTCTAAATACACCCAGATAGTAAAAGAATGAATTTTTAAAAAACCATATAACCCAACAACACATTCTCTACACAAAACTCACCATAAATAAAACAATATAAGCAGGCTGCAAGTAAAAAGAAAGGAGGAAATACATTATGCAAATATTAATCAAAGGAAGGTTGGAGTGGTTGTATTATCCGATAACGTAAACTTCGAAATAAAGAAAATTACCAAGAACAGTAAGGGACATTATGGTAAAATGGTCAAGTCCACCAAAATACAGCAATCCCAAATATGTATGCACCAACCAACAAAGCTACAAAATATGCGAAGCAAAAAACGGAAAGGAGAAACAAACCAATCTCCAATTAGAGCTGGAGATCCCTCCTTCAACAATGGAAAATCAAGAAGGCTATAAACAAACTCAACATAACATCAACCTAAAGAATTTAATGACATTTTTCTTAGAACTAAAGAAATCTAAAGCAAGCACAAGGATATAACATAAATCAACGAAACTGAAAACTAAAAAATAAACCCAAATCCCAGCTTACTTGTTTAACTGCATCAACACTGCCTAGTACATATAATGGAATTTTAAAAGCTCATGGAAAAATATAAAAAGGAATTAAATGGTGAATTTATTCTGATGGGGAAAAAACTGTTGAAATCCACACATCGTTTTTCCTAACATGTATGTTTCCATAAGCTATTTAAAGATCCACCCTATTAATGATCATTGCTCACATTTATTTCATAAATGTAAATGCCAAACAGTCTTCCCAATGAACTGTATGAAAAAACTGTTTCTTTAACAATAATTCATAAAGTCAAGTAGTACCTTGGTTGATGCCTGGTCATATTGTGCTGTGGTTCTCACCAGTTCATCTCTGTTTTTGTTCAAAACTTTCTCTTTTTCAATTAAATCCACTTTTGCTTTCTCCAGTTGGAGTTGGACTTCTTGAAATTTATTCGCTTGGCCTTTTATTTCTTTTTCTTGTCCTTGCAGATGTAGTTCCAACTCATTAATCTTGCTTCTTAGCTCTTAAACAACAAGAAAAACCACACTCTAATAATTCACATACATTTTTCACAAAATGATCAGAATTTTTGTTGAGACAAATATAAACATTGTACATTAAACACGGATGCTACTTTAATTGGATTTAATTTCAGTAGTGTGTTTCTAATGTCATTTGTATCCAAATACTACCTATAGAAAGCAGGAGACACAGATCTTACCTTTCACACCAAAACATGAGGGAGAAAATGCTTTTCTAGAGTTACAAATAGTTAGGACAAGCAGGTGACATGGTGCTTAAAGCACCCACATGGCTGACTGCTACTTGAGTCCTGGACCCAATGGCTTGAAATTCTCGCATGTGCATGTGCATGCATGCCTCAAATCCTGAGACAAAAATGGATGAGAGGGAACTGTGGCATGGCCATCCCCCCCAGGGGCTGATTCCTCTTTTTTTTTTTTTCTCTCTCTCTCTGGCAAGTACTCCCACCCTATGGCAAAAAAAATTAAAAAATAAATTTAAAAAAAAAAGTCTCATTGGGGCTGCAAAAAGTTCATCACCTATACCTCCTTTGTTAAAACTACCATTTGGTTCTATACACTAGCAAACCAGTATTTCTTATGTCCATATCAACATAAATTGGTGCTAAGAAATGAAAGTTTCACCCTCCTACATTCTCTGATAGCTTTACCTCCCATAAAGATTTAGTGTGATCCTCCTATACTGCCAAAATTTTCCCTTTTTTTCCTCCTACATACACACGATATTTGTTCCAATGGCATTGGCAGTAACCGCTCTCACCAGTGAACCTGACAGTGATTTTCAATGTATCAGAGCACTGGAAATGATCATATTCTACAGAGTGGATTCCGAAGCACCACCTGGTACCCTTGGCTGTCAGTTGCAGCATGGCACAGTGGCCAAGGTTACAGGTTTGTTCCCATATGGACAACCTGGCAGAGCACAGCAGAGTGGCTCTGCAGACATGTGCCACACCTCTGGCCAAAGATGGTCAGAACACAGGCTTATTTCACAGGCCACAAAAGGAGCCAGATGAGGTGTGGGGCGCACAAACTGTGACCTATCTGCCTGCTCTGCTTCTGGAACGACAAGTTAGAGTCTCTTGACCCGCTCTTAAAAGCTTCAGGGACCAGCTTTTCAATATAAAACTACATCCCAAAACTATGATGTTTTTTATCATTATCAAAAAGACAGTATCTCACATCCGCCGTTCTGGGATGCTGCCCACTGACATTTTATTACAAAACACTTAAACAGTTTCTAGGATTAAAAATACCTAGGATCACCCCTGAAACTAGCTCAGTAAAAATGTAATTTAAATTAAATTTAGCTCAAGAATTTACCTTTATTCTGGGCTTTTAACTGATCCAAAAGGTGAGGACTACTAGAATTATCACAGGCAGCGTTATTTGCATCTCTTTTCCCTATTTTCGAAGTTAATTTACTTGGAGTAACTTCATGGTCCCTCAAAAAGTGAGATGCAGAGAAATCTCTCCCAGCTGGAGTTCTGTGAGAATCAGATGAAAGTCGACCTGGGGTCTCTTGTTGCCAGAACACAGACGACGAAGCCTGATGTCGAGCAATGTCTCGGTGGTTCATGGTGCTTTGGGAAATAGTCTGGCTTGTTCTCTGCAAAAACAGACACTCTTTAGAGACCTTTGGAAATCTCCATATTCAAGGCAATTTATTTCCAAATAGAACATAAAGTCATAATACAAAGAAGTTAACACTTCCACCGACTAACCAAGAAGGGACATTCATCTTGTCAGGGGAACCACTAAGTCCAATACACAGTGACCAAAATGTTCTGTAGGTCAGGCTTCCCAGTGATGAAGGGGAAAGGCACTGCCATTGGAGAACCAAACGATTTAAAATGAGCTAAGGCTTACATTTATTCTGCATTTCTCACATTCCATTTACACATATGACTGCTCACTGCCACTTTGATTCCAAATTGGCTGTCCTTGGTCACTTCCCCATATAGATGGCCATAAAGAGAATTCCAATGAGGGACCAGCAGGTGGTGTGGTGATTAAGGCTCTGGATACTCCCACATGGCTGACCATGGTTCGAGACCTGGACCTGGCAGCTTGCTTTCTCACTTTCCCTCTCTCTCTCTCTCTCCTCTCTCTCTCTCTCTCTCTCTGGTCAAATTAAAATGAATGAATGAATAAGTAAAATTAAGTAATTGTTTTTTAAAAAAGAGAATTAAAATGAAATCTCAGCCTAAAGAACTTTCAAGATTCTTACTTTCCACTATACCATCATTCTCCCCTTGAAAAAAGTCATGAAAGTTGTTTTATATAATATACATTTGTGGATTATATAGTGCTTTCAGTTCTTTCTGCTTTTCTCTCTGCCTCTATTCTGACAAATATCAAGACTCCGCCATAGATATGACATTAAATTTTTGATAACAAACATTTTTCTTGCCATAAGAGGTTTAATATTTATGGAGACATGCATTTTTCATAAAATAAGTCTAAGAATCAGGTAAGGACAGAATTGTTACTAATGACTGAATTGCATGACAAATTGCATGGTATTTCTAGGACAAAGCAGAGAATTACCATTTAACTTCTATTCATCTTGATGAGCAATGCCTTTGCCATGTATCAGGTCAAAATGAAGGTTAAAGGCACAAAAAGAACAAAAATTGCTAAGACTCAAAAAAATAGGTACTTCGTGATCCTCAATATTTGAGGTGGTGCTTACTTATAAATTCAACCTTAACCTTAATAAACCAGTCATCAAATTCTTCTGTTTAGTGGAAACACACCATTAAGCTCCACATAGGAATTAAAAAAAATAATAATAATTAGTGGGGAAAGTCGGTGGCATGGTGGTTAAGGTAGCTGGATTCCACATGATTGACTGCATAGTTCAAGACAGACTTAGCAGCTTCAAAAACACACCAGACAGGGGCCAGTAGGTGGTGTGGTGGTTAGGGACACTGGACTCCCATAAGGCTGACTATGGTTAGAGTCCTGGGTCTGGCGGCTTGCTTTCTCGCTTTTCCTCTCTTTCTCTCATTCATTCACTCTGTCCCTCTCTGGTGCAATTAAAAGAAAATAATTAAATAGTTAAATTGAATAATTCTTTTAAAAAAACACTGGATGCATGTGCATACATGCTTAAATACTGAAGAGGAAAATAGAGAAGGGACTGAAGTGTGGTCATCCCCCCTCATAATGAGTGAGTGCATGTACCCTATGGACAAATTTGAAAAAAAAAAAAAAAAAAAAACCCAGAATAGAAATGGTAGAAATAAAATTCAACAAATACTAGGTCATTTTTAGGGTCAGAACCTATACTAGAAGTAGAGGTTTTAAAAACCTGCATTTTGTTTATTTTGTTGATATTAAACAAATCTCTTTACCTACCTCTGTTTGAATAATCATCAAAACAGAGTTTAAAACTCTTGACATAAATCTGTCTTGGAGACTGTGTTAATTAATGTTCTCCTCTGAAATAAACATTTCACAGATAAGATCCTCATACTTCCAGTCCCTGTGGTAAGAGCCACCATGTTCCATCAGAAGGACACACATGAAGCCCTTCCCTCTAGGTGCCAAAGCCAGCCAGTGAGCATCAGGAATTACCTGCCCTCTCTAGATATGCTTGTTATCACTAGATCATAGTACTGGTTGTCAGAAAAGTCATGACATTTTTGCACAGAAAAACACATCATGACTTCTAACAAACCAACAGATAAGGAAATAACTATATAGCTACAATTTCTTCCCTTTTCTCTTTTTTTAATTTTTTTTCAACTAAACACAGCATGGATTTCTCATAAATGTAAATTTTTAAAATAATTATTTTATTGGGGGACCAGCAGTTAGCCTAATGGCTATGCCGCTGGACTCCCATGTAGTCGACCGTGGTTCACGTCCTGGACCCGGTGACTTAAACTCACGCCGGGCATGTGTGCGTGCGTGCCCAAGATCCTGAGAGAAAATGGAGGAGAAGGGATTGCGGCATGGCCATCCCCCCAGGGGGTAATTTACTGGCTTTCTGTCTCTCTCTCTCTGTCTGGCGAGCGCATGCGCCCTATTGCAAAAACCTCTCCAAAAAAAAAAAAGAATTATTTTATTCAACTTTATTTATTTTTTAATTTGACCAGAGACGGACGGGGGGCGGGGAGTGAGAAAGAAAGCCACCAGGTCTGGGACTCAAACCATGGTCAGTCATGTAGAAGTCCAGCGCCCTTAACCACCACACCACTTGCTGGCCCCTAAAAGCTCTTTTTTTAACTACCATAGTGCAAATAAACTCACCAGAGAGAGAGGCCCCTCTAATGGAGCATGGTCAAAATGCAATCCTCTCTCCACGCTCTCTCCCTCCCATCAGGATTTTGAGCATAAACACAAACATACCCAGAACATTTCTCAAGCCACTGGGGCTAGGATTCAAACAGTAGAAGGAGCATACATGCCCGGCATGTTTCCAAAGCCACCGGGGCTGCAATTCAAACCATGGAAGGCCATGTGAGATCCTGCTCCTAATGCATAGCATCCAACCGCTGCACTCCAGGTCAGCCCACTGCAATAGTTTCTATAGAGTTCTATCAATATGTAATATTTGGGGACAAAATTTATTCTATTATATTTTACTCACCTTATCTATTTTTAAAACTAAAAATTGGTTGAGCGGGTAGTGTAGTGGTTAAAGCACTGGACGCCCACATGGCCAACTGTGGTTAAAGGTCCAGACCTGGCAGCTTGAAACTCACACCAGGCACAAGTGCATGGGTGTCCAAAATCCCAAGTGAAGAATGGAAAAGGACTGTAGCATGTCCATACCCCCTGGGGGGGTGATATCCCCCTTTCTCTGTCTCCAGCAAGTGCAAAAATGTCTTAAAAAAAAAAAAAAACCTAGATAAAAATTAATCACCACTAATGCGCTAGGATCTTTCTCTAGACATTAAAAAAAAAAAAAATCAGCTCTGTGTAAAACAATTTTTTCTACGTTTGTGCTATTCTATAAATATATCAAAGTACTTTTTAACAGCATATTCCTTAATGGGCCCATAATTTACTTACTTTAGCCTGCAAAGCTTTCACCTCAGCCTCTAATCTTTTTCGTTCTTCAACTTCTTTATTATATTTTTCTTTTAGATCTTCATACTTAGAACCTAAACACAATGAAATATAATTTTATTTCTATCACTGGTTTCAGGAAGGAATTCACAGATTGATGACTATGACAGTTTAGAAATGAGTACCTTAATATACCATGTAGAAAAGCACATTTTGGTTAAGACAATAAATCAAATATGGACTGAATTATTCAAATGTCAAAACCCATGGAAACCTAATTGTTTTGAATATTCTGAAACTGAATTTCCTTTAATGCACATCACAGAAGGATAAAGTGAAAGTTAAAAGGTTTAACACCGCCAGCCCATGGCATGGTGGCTAAGGTCACTGGGTCTCACATGGCAACTAAGCAGTTTCAGTCCCAGACCCAGTGGCTTGAAAAAACATTGCAGGTACATGCGTGTGTGTGAGTGTGTGTGCGCACATGCCCAAAATCCCAAAAGAGGAAGAAATAGGGAAGTGATTGCAGTGTGACCACCCTCTATGAGGGGTGCTTTCTTACTTTCTCTCTCTATCTCACTCAATCCCCTACAAGCACATGTGCCCTCTGGCAAAATCTGGGGGGTGGGAGGCTTAACTAACCCTGAGGCAGGTAGGTGGCATGGTGGCTGAAGTGCTGGAACCCCACATGACCGAGCGCAGTTCAAGTCTGGGACCTGGTGACTTGCGCAGCCGCGCGTGTTCTCTCTCTCTCTCTCTCTCCCATTCTCCCTGGTCAAACTTAAAAAATGATGATAATAAAATTCTTCTTAAAGAAAAATAAAGGCTTAATCTAATAAATGTAGTTCAATAGATATTTTATGTTAAATGTGGTTGCATTTTTTAAACACCCAAATTAAACATCAAAGTTTAATTGTCTTTCACAGAATTAAAAATCTCAGTAAAAGACTATTTCTATCAAGATGACCCTTTACCGCTATAACATTGACGCGGTGTTAGCGGAGTAGTAAACATCTTCTGTGGTGTACTGCACGGATTCAGAGAGACGTCTGCAGACTGTGCCATTTGTTGGCTTCTTTCAAGCTCAGATTTACATCTGTTAGAAAAGAACCCAAGAGAAGATCAGTGAGAGCAAATAGTACAGATCAATACTATACAGTCTCAGAAAATAATAAACTTACCAAGAAAGAAAGAAATAGTCATACTCTAAGAATTCCTAACAATTCTGGGCCAGCTGGTGGTGTGGTGGTTAAGGTGGATGGATCCCATATGGCCAACTGTGAGGTTTATGTTCCCAACCTGGTAGCTTGAAAAACATGCCAAAAGTATGTACACACATGCCCAAAATCCCGAGAGAATGGAGAAGGTACTGTGGCATGGCCGTCACCCCTGGGAGGTGACTGCTCACTTCTCTCTCTGGTGAGCATACACTCTATAGCAAAAAAAAAAGCAAAAACAAAAAACTTAATCATTTCATTTATTCAACAAACATCCAAACATTTAATAAGAACTTATGTGACAGATATAAATGCAGTTCCTTGTCTTCAAAAGAACACAGTCTAGTTAAAAAAACAGAAATATAAACCAATAGTTACGATATTATTCAGGTGACAGCACAGATCTGTAATAACCACAACAAAAAATTAAAATAAAAAGAGTTGGGGTGCTGGAGATTTAGTCCAAGCAAATTTTATATTCTAAGCCAAAGAGAGACACAGGAATATATAAGAATTTAGAATTTCAGAAACAGGAGAATGATGACGTCATTGAAGTGTGGGCTCAAATCATGAATGGATGACATCATTTATGCTAGTCGCTTCAAGACTTGATATATAGATCACATATTCATATATTATCATATATTAATAACACATAAAAGTTAGTATTATTAATCTAGAAAAAATTGGCTGGAAACAAGTTAAAAACAAATGCAGAAAAAAAATTATATATGTCTGCACAGAATATCCTTAACATTCAAGTAAATTCTGAACACCTTTCAGAACCAAATGACCCACTCAAAAGGGGGCTCAACTCTTCCAAGTCTCTACTGTCTTGGATTTTAGTTTAACATAAGAAATAAAATGAAGACTTTTAGAATGGCTAATATATGTACCAGTCCCTATCATGGGTTCATTACTCAATGCAGGGAGTGAAAAAAGTAGCAAAAAAAAAAAAAAGTAATACAGTGCCCTGAGCAACATCCAGCTCCAAATTCTATGCAGGAAGGAAGAGGCAATGTATGAGCTGAATATAATGAAGACTTAGCAAATCAAACCATCATAGTCAAGCTTAGGGTAGGAAACAGCTCTGTCCAAGAGAAATGTTCTACAGCGTTAAGACTCCACGGCACAGTACTTCAACCACCTTCTTCCCAGACAGCCCCAATTACTCTACTGTATTCTACCCCATAAACCTGGTCAAAAAAAAACCCTAAATCAACCTGCCTGTTCACCTTTTCAGCACTTTATATCCCAGGAACTAAGGGGGATAGAAAGGAGAGAAAAAAAAAAAAGAAAAAAGAAAAGCACACAATCCAACAGAGTGATTCCACTGAAAATTCCTTCTGACTTTAATTGGGTCCTCAGTGTTCCTAAATCCTTTTATTATTAACCTAGTTCTCTGTCTCCATTCTCTTTTTTCTTGGAGAGGATTTTTTTTTTTTTTTGCTATAGGGCACTTGCGCTCGCCAGAAAGACAGAGACGGAGAGATAGAAAGCGAGAAATCACCCCCCAGGGAGGATGGCCATGCAGCAATCCCTTCTCCATTCTCCTCTTGGGATCTTGGGCACGCACACGCACTGGGCTGAGTTTAAGCCACCGGGTCCGGCACTCGAACCGCAGTCGACTACGTGGGAGTCCAGCGACATAGCCATTAAGCTAACTGCTGGTCCCTCTGTCTCATTCTCTACAACAGATTTTGCACACAGGGAAAACCTAAGCTATCAGAGTAAGTCAAACTTAGGCTTCCTTCCATCTTTTCCATAGCCACTGTTAATAATTTTGTTAGTATTTTTTTAAAAGAATTATTCCATTCTATTTATCATTTTTTAAGAGGTTTTTGCCTTAGGGCACATGTGCTAGCTGGAGAGAGACAGACAGTTATAGGGAAAGTGATAAGGGGGACGGCCACACCACAATCCCTTCTCCATTTTCCTTGGACCTTGGGCATACACGCACACACACCTGGCATGATTTTCAAGCCACCAGGCCCAGGACTCAAACTTTAGGCAGTCATGTGAGAATCCAGTGACATAACCACTACACCATTTACTGGTCCCTCATTATTATTATTTTTTAATTTGCTACAAGACATGTGTCCTCACCAGAGAGAGAAAGTAAGAAAGCAAGTCACCAGGTCCAGGACTCGAACTATAGTCGCCTGTGTGGGAATCGAGCACCTTAATCACCATGCCATGTGCTGGCCCTGGTATATTCATTTTATTACTGTATCACTCAATGACCTGGCACAGGGAACAGCTTAATCATACACAAAGTGACTAAATAAATCAAGGGACCTATCATCTGACGAACTTTCAGAGCACTGAGCAATGCAATGACAGAACTGAATCGCTATTTTTTCCACAGGGGTGAAAAAAATCATGGCAATGCATAATCACATAGCTAAAAGTTAAAGGTATCTGATGAATACACAAAAACATATCTTTACAAATACCATTCTAAAAAAGTACCTTTTAAGTTCCTGTTCCAATTTTTCTATCTGTTTTTTGCTTGAATTCAGTTGTCCTTCCTGGAAATTCACTTGTGACTCCTTAATTTGAAGTTCATGAGAAATCTTCTGTTTACTTTTATCCAGATTTTCACATATTTCCATCAATCTTTGATTCTCCCTTTTTAGGTTCGTGCCCTCGGTTTTTTCATTTTCAACCTAATGGGGATTGTTCAGAATGAAACAGATTATTTATTTCATTAATTTGCCAAGCATTACCTGTAGATCCAATGCTGGCTACCTGTTTCGTGAGATATGGTTCTAATAAGCCAGATGACAAGGCTTTATGAACATGAAAATTGTAAATGACCACACTTTGAAGCCTATAGATAAAAAATGTCCACAAAGTCATATATTACATTGTCTTTGGTCAGGATTATACATACCCACTCTAGAAAGGAGTCTTTAGTATCCCCACAAGATAACACTATAAATCCTCTAACACTATAAATCTCCCTCAGCAACTCATTCTTAAGCTTCACTGTTAAAGTCAGTTACTATAAGAAACTGGAAAATTCTCCCATAACTTCAAACACTTTAGAAGCAGATGGGACCAGCAGTTAGCATAATGGCTATGTTGCTGGACTCCCATGTAGTCGACCATGGTTCACGTCCTGAACCCGGTGGCTTAAAACTCACGCCGGGCGCATGTACGTGCATGCCCAAGATCCCAAGAGAATGGAGAAGGGATTGCAGTGTGGCCATCCCCCTGAGGGGGGTGATTTCTCGCTTTCTGTCTCTCTGTCTCTGTCTGTCTGGCGAGCGTACACGCCCTATAGTGAAAAAAAAAAAACTCAAAAAAAAAAAACCACTTTAGAAGCAGAGATTACATCACTACTTTGTTGGCTAATAAAGTTAATAAAAACGTATTGTTCAGGAGCCAGCAGGTGTCATGGTGGTTCGAGCACTAGACTCTCACGTGGCCAACTGTGATTTGAGTCCTGGACCTGGTGACTTGCTTTCTCATTTTTTCTGTCTCTCTCTCATGAGCTCACATGCCTAGTAGCAAATTTTAAAATAAAATAATAATAAAATTAAAAATAATAATTTATTTAATAAAGTAAATAAATAACTCTTAAAAACCAAAAAGGTAGTATTGTTCAGGCCAGCAGGTGATATGGAGGTTAAGGCATTGGATCCCACAGGACCAGCTGCATGGTTCGTCACAGACCAGGCAATATGATAATCAAGCTAGGTACATACATGTACGCATGCACGCATGCACCCAAAATCCCAAGAGGAGACTGGAGGAAAAGAAACTGCAGCGTGGCCATCCCCCAGGGGATGACTTCTCATTTTCCCTCTCTCTGGCTCTCTTGGGCAAGCACATATACCCAACAGCAAAAAAAAAAAAAAAAAAGTACTGCTCAGGTTTTCATTCCCTAGTTCTGAAGAGAAAAGGTGCAGGAGCACCAAGGCCAGAAGCCCCCCCTCAGAAAGTGATGCCCATCTGAACTACAACATGCTCTAATACTGTCCCCAGGTGACCAGCCAGAGACTGTGGCCTTGAGGCTGCACAATGAAAAGGAATTTCCAACTCATGGTCTCAAAAGGAAGTTGAAATAGAAATGAACAGCCCTGAGCATTAACAAAGAAACAAGAATGAGAACAAAGAAGAAATCAGAGGCAATTTATAAACAAAAATGATTCAAAAAGAAGAGGGTGAGATCACCATCAGAAGACAGTAAAATCATTTCTCTCAGGACCAGCAGATGGTGCAACAGTTATGTCTTCACTGGACTTCCACGTAGTTGACCGTGGTTATAGTCCCAGACCTGGAGGCTTAAAGCTCATGCCAGGCATGTGCGCATGCATGCCCAAAATCCCAGGAGGAGAACGGAAAAGGGATTGCAGTGTGGCCATCTGCCCCGCCCCCGGGGAAGGGTGTAATTTCTCGTTTTCTGTCTCTCCAGCAAGCACATAGCAAAAATCTCTCTTGAAAATAACAATAATAATTTTTGTCTGAATTTAAAGGTGAAATCATTAACCAAAAGTAAGAGTTTCAAAGAACAGTGCGTGAGTGCTACCTTCTGTTTCTGCTTTTGCAGTGCAGCTTCCAGAGTTTCCAGCTGAAACTGCCTCTGCTGTTTTTCTTTCTTCAGTTTGTCAAGCTGGCCTTCGAGCTCCTGAATTTTCTGAAGAGCTCTTGTAGGCAGGCCTTCTTTCCATTCTTCCAAAGCCCAGCTCATTTTGCTCTCCCTCCTTTATTATTCCAACATTGATAAATAAACTGCAAAGAACAGACTGCTGATGTTATTATTAAAAAAGACAACCCAGTGCATCTCCCTATCCACCTCTGAGGAGCAAATTTCAAAGCTTCACATTTCAAATGATAACAATACCTAAATTCTCCATCCTCTGAAACTATCAATAGCGCTGATAGGAAGAACAGAGCGTGCGTGTTTTGTTTCCTCTTGTTTTCTGCTTTTCTTATTTCTCAGTTTTACCTTCTCTTATGGCTACCTGCTTTCTATTGCTCATGGTTTGTTTTCACTATACAAAACACAAAAATATTGCTATAAGGTTTTCGAGTGCAATAGGTCCAATAAGCAAATAGAATGTATGACAAGGTATTCTGCCAATGCTAGTCTTTCCCTTTTCACATTGTTAATTACCACTCATGAAAAAGTCTTCAAGGGACTAGCAGTTGACATAATGGTTATGTCGCTGGACTCCTATGTAGTCGACTGCACTTCAAGTCCCAGACCCGGTGGTTTAAATTCACGAGCACGTGTGCCCACATGCCCAAGATCCCGAGAGAAGAATGGAGAAGGGATTGTAGCATGGCCATCCCCCCTGGGGGGTAATTTCTTGCTTTCTGTCTCTCTGTCTTTCTGGCAAGTACATGCATCCTATAACAAAAAAACTCTCCCAAAATAAAGATCTTCAAACAGTTCATGAATCTTAAATATTATGAGGCAACTATGTATAGATTTCAAAATTTTTTGCCCCAATATAAACGCATACTTTATTTTTCCACAAACCTTCTCAAGTCCCTTGGTATTTTTTCCCTCTGGGAAACATTTTCTGAGATCCCTGACTGGATCATCACTACCCGTCATCATTCTCCATGGCACAGGTAACCCACCTCCTTCCAAGCAGTTGTCATGTGTGAATTAATGCATGAACGAATGAAGAGTGAAAGCGATTATCAGTACTATAATACTCCGAAAGGTAATAAAGTCATGTTCCAGGCAGATCTTAACCAAGTATACAACCTTAGTGATGCAAGAGACTCAAACCCCACGCACATGCGCCCGGCGTGAGTTTAAGCGACCAGGTCCAGAACTCAAACCACAGTTGACTACATGGGAGTTGAGCAACACAGCCATTATGTTAACTGCTGGTCCCAGCCTCTTCTAAGATATGTGACTTCGGGCCTTGGTTTCCTCAATGTAAAACAGGGATTGGCTCAGCTGTGGTGGTCTTGCTCCTAACACGCTGCTTAGAGACTGGAACACATGGGAAGCCCAGGTTGTTCCCAGCCCAATGGAAACAGGCAGGGCACAGCGGACACACCCACAGGTCTCAGTCCTAGGCTGAGGAGGGAGGATCCTGACATAAAGAGACACTTGGAAATCAATTTCGTTCTCTATTTCCTCTCTCATGAATAAACTTTAAATAATAAGGATAACCAGGGTGACAACTTCCTAAAGCTTTAGAACAGTAGTTCCAAGTATATTTTCTTTATAGTGCAATCCCTAAAAACATTTTTTTTGTGTGAATGTCAACCTCTGGTACAAAGGGGGAAGTAGCCTACCTCCTCCTCAGCTTCATCTCAGACTTAAGTCAGCAGAGCGAAAAGTGTGTCAACTGTCCTTTACTTTAACCTTTAGAATTATCAATTTTTTCTTTAAAAAAAGAATTCATTTTCCAGTTATTTTGGCAACAGAATAAGAAGTCCTTTCTTACTGAATGAAGTCCACCAACCACTTTAGTATTATTTCATTTGACATTGAAAGTTCTTTATGTGAGGGGCATGTGGTTTGGTAGTTAAGGGCGCTAGAGTCCCACATGGCTGACTGTGGTTCTAGTCGTGGACCTGGTGGCTTGCTTTCTCACTTTCTCACTTTCTCTCTCTCTCTCTCTCTCTCTCCCCCTCTCTGGTCAAATTAAAATAAAATTATTCTTTTTATTAAAAACATAAGTTCTTTATCAGAACAGAGGATGATAGCAGCAAGGATGAGAAAAATATTTTTGAAAATTATGCGGCAGAAACAAAGATCTTGGACAACGTATGTTAGATACCAAACCTTGGAAAGCTGTGCTTTCACTGCCAATTTAATTTTTCATTTTTCTGTTTTGTTATTTGTTACATCTCTAGAAGACAGCATCTTAAATGCTACTCATTTGCCCAAAAACTAGTTAAGCTGCCCCAATAAACCACATCCTCCATTCCAATCCAACTTACTCAGGAAGGGTAAGCATGGTACCCCCAAAGACACACACCTGTATTTATTTTAAACAGTTCAGTCAGACATTAAAATCATTAGGCAGAGCTCCCAGAGTCAACAAAATATAAAAAGGAGCAATTTAGAAAGACAATAGAATGAGGGAAATAAACATAGCAGAAACAGGTTGAATGATTTTCCATCTCAAAATTTAAGGTATGGGATGTGTGTGTGTGTGTGTGTGTGTGTGTGTGTGTGTGTGTGTCTGTGTCTGCATCTTTTTTTAAAGCAATTTTCACACCCAGGCTAATTGTAATTAGAGCAGACTTTTGGTCACATTCAAGCATTAGCTACCAGCTATGTGTATTGGGCCACTGGGGAAAAAGAACGAAAAGGCAAACCTTAAACTCCTAGTCCAATAAGGGGCAAGGAATGGGAATGTACGGGGGAGGGCGGGAGGAACGGGGGTGAGGAGGGGGTGCGGGGTGGGGAGCGGGCGCCGGGTCCAGGCTTCCCTTAACGCCTCCCCGCCCCACCCTCACTCACACAAACACGCCCACCGGAGGTTCCGCAGAGGACTTCCAAGGCTATCGGCCTTTCCAGAAAACGCATTCTCTCTATAACTGAAATACGTGGAGTTCACTCTTCGAACCAGAGTCACCCAAGTTCCACAAGGAAGCTCTCGTGCGACCACCCCCCGCCTCCCGGCCTTGCCGGCCTATCTCACGCTTTTCCTTGGTCAGAATTCCTCATCCCACCAAAGAGCTCCAGTCCGCGCCCCCTAGGTCTCCGGACGCTAGTACGAGCCGTCAGCGGCGCAGAGCGCGATCCCAGGGGCAGCGCCGCGGGGGCTGGAACCAGGCAAGGCGCTCACCTGGCTACCTGGATACGGCGGAAGGGACTAGACGGTCTCCAAGACGCCGCTCCGGGCAGCCTCCGCCGGCTGGAGCCAGATTCCAATTCGAAATGCCCCGGGCCGCGGTCTTGTGTGCGATTCGCCAACTTCCGGTCCCGATCGAAGCAACCTCCACGCTTATTGGTCACTGTAAGCAGTGGGGGCCAATCCGCTCCCGAGCATTCAGACTACGCCTCTGATTGGCCCTTTTGGATGGGTTTTAAAAACAAGCGCTCACGGCCGTGCGTGAGGCAGAGCGAGAGTGCTTTTTTGTTGCCGCGGAGAGGAGGCGATCACGTGGCCTTGGTAGAGCTAGATGCTGTTTTCTACTCCTACTTCTGCAAAAGCCGAGGACTGGGACGACTGATACTGGGGGTGTGGTCTATCGCCGGCAGCCTAGGCGGGAGTGCTGTCTGGTGAAAACTCTCACGCTGCACGTACAAAAATCTCTTAGGATATAAACGCTACGTATTATGCTTGTCTTGCATTCTTAACAATTGATTAATGAAAAATTCCCATTTTATTTGAAAGTTAACTGATGCACAAAGAAGCTATGTAATTTGAAATCTAACTTGCGAGGATTTGCCCTATATCTGCTGTCCTCAGTCTGATTTTGAATAAGTAATTCTAAATGTTTCTTAGCTAGGATTCAGAGGAAAGACATTGCCTCAGACTCAAAAATTCGGAGTAATCTTCAAAATTGAACTGGATGCAGCCGCTCCTTTTTATGATGGCTCTAGTTTTGTATTTGTTTTATGCACTTGTTTTATTTCCATATTCGACTGTAAGTGTACAAAAAAAGAACAAAAGAATTCATTGTTAAATTAATACACCTCTGATGCTGTTATCTTTCTTAATAGGTTCCAAATTTTCTTTGCTCCTCTTTTTACCTTTTCATTAGACTCTTCCTGAAACCTAATCTACTTCCTTTCTCTGAAATTCTGCTAACCCTTCAGTACCCAATACAAATGCAACTTTCTTCATAAAACCTGCCACCCACTCCTTAGAAATGATTTTTCTCTGGCCCTTTCTTAGAACTTGGTTTATACTTTCCATTTAGAATTTTCTGTCATGTTTTGTATTATGTCTATACTTGACTCCCCTACGAGTCTCAAAAATACTTTTACATAAAATCTGTTCATTCAGAAACCAGCAGTTAGCATAATGGCTATGTTGCTGGACTCCCATGCAGTCAACCACGGTTCAAGTCCCAGATCCAGTGGCTTAAACTCACACCAGGCGCTTGTGCATGCATGCCCAAGATCCCGAGAGGAGAATGGAGGAGAAGGGATTGTGGCGTGGCCATCTGCCCTGGGATGTGATTTCTCGCTTTCTGTCTTTCTCTTTCTCTCTCTCTCTCTCTCTCTCTCTCTCTCTCTCTTTCTCTGTCTTCCTGGCGAGTGCAAGCTCCCCATAGCAAAAACCTCTCAAAAAAAAAAAAAACAACTATTCATTCATCTTTGCATTTCTAGTAACTTTTCACATAGTAATTTTTGAGTCGTGGGGAGAGTCATAACATATTTTTGCATAGAAAATAGAAAAGTATGTCATGACTTTTCCAATGACCTAATAAAAACCAGATCACCTTGGGAAATAAACTGCTATCAGAAGAAAGGCCTTGTTCTCTACTATCCTTGAATTCCCAAGGAAAGGCAAGGGAATGGTAGGGGAGAACTTATGGGAGACACAGCCATGAGCAGTCTAGTATGTGGTGGTTCTAGATTTTGAACCAAATTCTGTCTGACTCCACACCATTACAGTAACTCTGCCTGACCCCAACACTTACTACTATTCCGTTGCTTCCTAGGTTCTCAATACTGTTCATTAGCTGCCTAAGGAAAATAAAACTAGAAAGATAGGTGACAGTGAATGTTCAAAGTTCAGATGAGTTACCTGTTGAGTGGCCACTGTACAGCTAAGTCTTGTGCTATGTTTTCTATAATAAACAATAAAGAATACTTTAACTTCTTAAACAAGGGAATCATGTGATGAAGACTATTCTAAAAACTCGGTGGCATTTCTGTGACTTCAGTTTTATGATTCACTTCCCCTGCTTTTTGCTACCTTGATAGATGGAGAGGGGCAACCCAGTATGCAGTCAGAACTACCAATCATGGAGTATTGTCAGATCCAGCAAGTCAGATTCTATGATGAGACCCAAGCAGGTCCAATGGGCACAAATAACTTATATAAATGGGTAACCACAGGTCACTCCGTTCCACCAGGGCTCTCCCTCAATGCACTGTTATGGCCTATTGTGGGCTTCCTCAACACCAGAGGAGAAAAACACCTGATCCTGGTTCACAGCTGGTTGGCTTAATAAGCTGATGTGTCCTGATGCTCCTTACAGCATCACTAAGGAGAGAGTCTGGTGAGCAGCACTGACCGGAACAATTGGTTCATATGGAAGAAAAAGTGGCCTGAAGTCAGAATATACTCCTGGACAAGTGATTTGGCTGATAAATCAAAGACCCAAAAAGAACAGGATTAAATTATTGAAGATAGACTTTAATTTATTTTTAAAGAATTATTTCATTTTATTCATCATTATTATGTTTTCATTTGACCAGAGTGAGGAAACGTGAGAAAGCAAGCTGCCAGGTCCAGGACTTGAACTGTAGTCAGTCAGGTGGGAGTTTAACGCCTTAACCACTATACCCCCTGCTGGCCCTGAAGATAGGTTTAAAGAAGAGGACTGTGGATAAATCCTGAAAAAATCAATACCTCCTCAAGATACAGGTTTATCTCCCCTTGATCCAGTGTCTGTGCCAGTTACACTCCCTGGGAGTTTACAGAATACTTGATTTGCAGATTGCCCTGAACCAAGGACACGTTTTATTGAAAAATGTGTACATGACGACGTATTCTGCCTGTTTCGTGGATGCAGTTGGCCTGACACTGTTACAGATTTAATTGTATTTCCACAAAACTCATTTGTCAAAGTCCTAACCTCCAATGTCTCAGAACGTGACCTTAATTAGAAACAGTCATTGTAGATGTAATTAGTTAAAATGACATTTTAGGGTAGACCCCAATTCAATATGGTTATGTTCTTACAAATGGAGGGTATTTGGACACAGAGAGAAACACATAGGAAAATAGATTGGAATTATGTTGTCACAGACCAAGGGACCCCAGAGAATGCCAGCAAACCACCAGAAACCTGGGGAGAGGCCTGGAACATTCACCCTCACAGCCCTCAGAAGGAACCAACCCTGCTGACACCTTAGCTCAGATGGCTAGCCTCCAGAACGGTCAGACAATAAAATTCTGTTGTTCTAAACCACCCTGTTTAAGAAAGTAATACCTATATTGGAATGGCGAATTAAAGGTTTCGCTAAGACACTGGTTCAGGTATAACACCCTGAACAATAGAAGAATTATTCTCCATAATGCGCTATCCAATTAACTGAACTCTGCTCCCAGTAGCTAGAATATGTAGGAACAGAAGCCAAGAAATAGAGGAACTGGACCTTCTCGCTATTACTCCTAATAACCCATTTGTGCACCCCATCCTCTGCTAGGTAAAGTGAAGAGTAGAAAACACTCCTACGAATGACACAAAGGGATTCTACCAGATCTGTTACTATAACTGATTTCTTTGGTTTCATTGTGTGGGTGGACCGGCAGGCAAAGTTAATCAGCCCTGACTACTGTGAGGAAATAGACTCATGCTACTGAAAGAGGGCAGGGTAGAGTATGTCCAGAACCCAGAACTTTCATATACTTTTGTATCTGGTGAAAACTGTAAATGAGCAAACAAAGACAGCACAGCCCTACAAAGGCAAGGCAAGCGAAGGCCAGACTCCTCTGGGATGAAGTTTTGTTTTTGGTTTTTTTTCTTCCTTTGAAGGGTAAAAATTTTACTTCTGAGGAACTTTTTTACTGCCCATTTTCAAAGAGAGTCACATAAGTAAGCAAAAATGTTATTCTCCCCCATCCTAGAAATAAATAAGGGCATACAATTTCTTTTTTAAATCATGACACTTGGAAGGTTAGAACCAGCATCCAAAATAAACAAAAAAGGGGGGAAAAAGGCATTTACTATATATTTCAGATTTCTTTGGTTGGGGTTCTCCCCAGCTGGTATTATTTCTTTCAATTCATATTACCAAAACAGTGAAAACCAGGAAGAAATTATAAACCTAGCTGGGTGCTGAAACGGGGGAGGTGCTCTCTTGCCGCCTGTGCAGGCATTCCTGGGACCTCGGCTTGCTGGAAAAACTTGCTGACGGTTTTCCTTCTGCAGTTGCTAGTTTCTTAAAGGAGTACTTGTAAACATTCCCATGTCCAAATCTTGGTTTGTCTTCCACTTTTATTGCTTGCATGTTTCTTTGGTGTTAGTACGGTCGTGGTTTGCTTTTTGCTTTATTTTTGAATGGTCATTAATTCTTTGAGATTTCTCACCAGGCAAATAAATTAGACCAGGTGATAATGGCCAAGAATGGGGAATTCTAGAGTGTGTGGTAGAAAAGAGAGTTGATGAATATCAATCACAGCCTTTGACCAGTTATATTAACAGGGATTATAGTTTATTTCACTGATTCTCCTGTACAAAGTCTTGCTTAGAGAATAGGACTGTCTTAAAGACGTAGTAACAGTCTGTGCTTAATGTGTGAACAAGTGGATCAGAGTCGAGTAAAAAGTGGACTGTGGTAAATGTGGTTACAGCATCCCCATGGCCCACTTCTGATTTCAGCGACAGATGTAGCAGACAATTCTGGGTGGGCTCAGACCTCAAGCATAAGTCATGGGTCTCTTGGTGTCTCTGCTCCAGGGCAACCTCTGAAGCAGAAGGAGCCTGCATAGCCAGCACACAGCCCAGCCTGTGGGTGCAGTTATGGCTTCCAAGGGCAATTCTCAACAAAGAAGGTCAGGAGCCAGCAGATTCATGCCCAAGCGTTCTACCCTTCACATGGGAGATTCTGAGCAGTCCAGAAGAATCAAATCCCTGACCCCTACTGCAAACAACTGCATCCTTACATTGACTTTTCCTCCTTCCTGTCTCACTCTCTGTGCCCCCTACTTTGCTTCTTAGGATCAAACCTAGATAAACTACCTCCACTCATCTTTTTCTTAGTCTGCTTCTAGG